AATGATAAATATTTATTTTAATATATTATGTATGTGATGTGTAATAAATTATTAATTTTTTCTATTAATATGATTATATGGTATGATTTAAATAAAAATTTTATATATTTAGTAGATGGTTGGCCATAGGGGTATAAATGATATATTAATACTTGCAAGTTACTCAAGTTCGATTCGAAGAAAACTCGAATTCGATTCGATTATTATCGAGTCGAGATCGAGCTCGAGTAGCTCGACTTATCAATCGAGTCGAATTCGAGTATTCTTATATCTGGTTCGAGTAGCTCACGAGCTTAATCGAGCTTTTATATTTAAATATATTTTTATTATTTTAATTAATAAAATATTTCGAATTCGAGTTCGAGCTCGAGCATAAATAATCAAATTCTTGTCGAGTATAGAGTTTATTTTTACATATTAATCGAGTTTAATTGAGCGAGTTCAAATAATTAGAATTCGATCACAAATCGAGCTCAAACTTCTCACTGTATCGACTCAACTCGACTCAATTACACCTCTAGTTAGCCATCATGATTAGTTGTAGAGGATTTTCTTTTCAAGTTCAAGTTTATCGTGTCTAAATTTAATCTAATTTTATGCTAATTTTCTTCAATTTATTTTATTAATTTCTTTCATGGATGTATTATATGATATAAGAAAATTATATGATTGTAATTAAATCTTTTACTTATAAATCTAATCTCTTTAAGAAAATTTTTTTTTAAAGAATTACATACCAATACTCCCCCTTTTACCCTAGATGCTTTCCAATTTTGGTAACTCAAAAAATGTCAAAATGCCTTAAATTGGTTAGAGAAAATGTTAGGGTCTGAGTTCTAATGCTTTTAATTATGCATTTCAAAGAAGCATGCATGAACCTAAAGGATGAGGGGATTTTAATTCTTTTTAATTTTCATCCCTAAACAAACATATATATTTTTTAATTGTCTTTGAACTTAATTTTTAAATTAATTTTAAAATAATTCAAAATTAACTAAAAATAAAATTTTAACTAGATTTAATTAAAAATAATGCATTATTATCTTAATATAAAGTAGTAAAAAAATTTATTAGTTTTTAATTATTGAGAAGGATATTGGAATATGTTTTTGACATGTGTTCTAAAGAAATCAGTTCTAGATTTAAAGACTTCCAATTTAAATTTCAACCATAATCTAAAACATAAAAGGAAAATCAAGTGGATTTTAGCTAGATTGGGTTGCTTTCACAAGAACTATCATTTTTTTCTTATTCAACGTTAGGAATTTGTTCAAATTAAATGTGTGCATAATATTTTATGTAATCAATAAAAATTTTAAATTTTTATTTTGAATGAATTAAATTTTTAAATATTTATTTTCAGTTCAATTAAATTTTTGATTTGATAAAAATGGATATTGACTGTAAATTAATTTTTTAAATAAAAATTCAATTAATCAAAATAAATGTTTGAACGTTTAATTAAATATAATAAATGATAAAAATTTAGATGATTATTAAATTTTTATTTAAAAATTTTTTTAGACCTTTTTGCTTTGTATTTTTCATGGAAGAAAAGGATGTTGAGAGTAAATAATTTACTTTTGTTTAATTTTAATTATTTTTTGTATATAAAAAATCACAAGTTGAGAATAAGGAAAGGGTTACAGTTAGAATTCGAATTTTAAATCTATTAGATATCATTTGTGTTTATAAATCAATTTAATTAATCTCTAAATTCAATTAATTTTAATTATATTAATACTAATATAATTGTTATTCGACAAGCAAATCATACATATATAAAATGGAATATTATGAGTATTAAATTTATTTACAAAATTTTAACTCCTAAATTTACAAGAAATAATAAGAGATTGTAAGTATCAAATAAATAGATCTCCTTTTAATTTTAGTTCCTATTTGATTTTAGTCTATTTTATATTAAAATGTTAACATTAACTGTTAAAAGAATATTCAACAAATAGCTTGATAGATTCTTCTAAATCTGATCATAACCCTTGTCATTCTTCTCTGCCATTTTACTTGGCACAAATAAGCTATCCCTTACAGAAATAATGCATTCATCTAATAATTTTCGATTAGTTGACATGATTCTCACAACATTAATTCAACCAAATTATCAACTAACCTTAATCAAACCATATCCAAGCATCCGAAAAATGCACTTCAAAATAGCCAAAAGTCTTTGAAAATTAGCTTTGCCTTTTCTCAGGCTCCACATCTGGGAACCTTCATCCAACATGTAGTCCACAACTTCTGTCCTTAATGGTGGATTCATTGCAGCTTAGCCTCTAACAAAGAATTCGAGTGGCTTGTTGCCTTAAACTATCAAGTTGGTATATGGAAAGCGGGTAAATATGATGCATTCTTGGAAACAAAGGGTTCTTGGCACTAGCCAGAAATAAGTTCAAGTAAGATGAGCAAGTAAATCTTACAGCTAACTGAATTTCTCCTATTTTTTTCAACCCAACAAGAATATGTGTAAATCTTGTCGGTTGAAAGAGTAGATAGTCGAATCCTTCCGTTCTCGATGCTTGGATCTTTTCCACCTCCAACCACATCACCACCATGCAAGTGACAGTCATCAAAGACTCCTATAGTAAGGACAGTATACGGATCATAAACCTCTTAAGTATATTGCTCATTCCATTTCGGATCGAAACTGCCGGCTACTGTCCTTGTTTTACCCAGTTAGGCTCATATTTCGCCACACAATAAGCATCCGTAGTTTCATGCTCATCTCTTAACTTCATTGGCTGCAAAGTGTTAGCACTTATGATCCCCAATTCCAAGACCCCAACCGTAGATGTCCATAGCATTTTCCCAGTTGGCTGGTAGTCACTACAATAACGAATAAATTCATCAAAAACATGATAGCCACCATCCAGAGTTATCCTCACGTTATATGCTTACTAAAGAAATTCATCTGCTCTTTCCTCCCTCCATCTTCAAGTGCAATCTTTTCAAGATTGTACCACGTAGATGCAGCTGATAGAGGTAGCAGCCTCTGATCAACCAGAGATAAATGAATTGAAGACTTTCCTAAACATTCCACCATATTGTTCCCAGCTTATCCTCCACACTTAGAATTAAAGGATCGCAAAATGGTTCTGCCACAACAAACATCAAATCCTGATTCCATTTAGGATTCACATTCTTATCAGGGGAAACTTTGGTCCTCAAGATCACATCCCCATAAATAGCCTTAACATAAACTTCTGGCTTTCTATTCTTGTTGCCAGGTACCAAATCCTGAGCTTGAATTATATTAACTCTTAAGGTACCAAAGTCTAGGAGAAAGATATACCTTGGAACGAGTATTCAGAAGGCGTTCACCGCTCACAATTGCTGCATCTGAATGCCTAGCATCAAGAAACACATTATCTGCTTGAGTGCTAAACCAAATAGACAACATCAGTTCTCCTCCCCCCACATTGACCCCATTTTTATCCTCCAATGTATGCCACTGTGAAGCAAGTGGACTATCTGGGGGAAGGCAAGTAGGAATGTCAGGCAAATTGATAGTAATCTTGCCAATCATATTCTCATTAATCATAAGCTGTTTGTCTCTCACAGTGATCCCCACAGCTGTAGCCTGCATATATACGATCTTTTGTGAACGCAAAAACTTGGTTCCATTCCAGATTTGGTTTCTTCTCAAAGTATTTTGTTGTCACCTTATAGTTCCCAATCTTTATTTCAACAAAAGGATCACTGATTCCATTGACTGTTTTCAATGGCAAATCTCTAGCTCTCACAATTCTCACAAATAAGAACTGCATCCGCTCAACAAGGACAAATGAGGATGTGAGCTTTTCACTGCCAGAGACTCGATCAACACCAATATTCAGTTTGGTCTCCCTCAAAGAAAAGTCTACTTTTCCTCCCGCCATTGTGCAAAGCAAACTAGAAGAAGGGGCCAAATGTACAATGGAGAGCAAAGTCTCCCTACAAAAAATTACATAAAACAGATTGTCACAACTGTTCTTGCTGAAAAAAAAAACTGAAAAATCACTATAAATTGGGACTTAAGAAACAGGGTTAGAGTTCAAGTATGTCTAATGTGAGTTTATCTTTCCCAATACAGATGTCAAAACTAAGAATCATATGAAAAAGAATCAGAATCACATCTGAAGGCCAATCAGAGAAAGATAGTTCGAATATATATAAATTCTAACATGGTTATTAGATGCCAGAGTTCAGTAACAGAAAGAATTGATATACAAATTCTAACATGAAGGATAGGAGATTGCAATGATAGTAATTCAACCTCCCATGCACAGCTTATAGTATTCAAACAAGGAAGTGCATGGCAAGTTTGGAGATTGAATTTCTTTCCCAAAACCCGTAGTTATAGCTAGGAAGAGAAACAATTCAACTCAGCTGATAAACCTATAGTTCAGGCCTCTTACCTTCTATTTGGCAGATTTAATTTATCAAAATGAATTTGTCAATAAAAATTTAGTCTTACCCTTTTCTTTTGTTTCTCCATAGATGAATTTGTTAACTTTTGTTTAAAAAATTCAGGCAAGTTAGACATGTTACTGTACAATTTTGACAGAAACCAAAATTTTGAAGAACAAATGAGGGAAACGAAACAACAAAGAAGTTGAGAGATAATCGCTGATTTTTTGTGTTGAAGTATGTAATAAACACATACCAGAAGAAGTCTTGAAAAAGGAATACAAAAACACAAAGGAACGACATTGGCTGGTTACCTGAAAGAGAATGTGAAGCTTGATTGATGGAGAAAGAAGGCTGCCAGCAGCTAGCAACTGGTTATATAAAGAAAACCCCTAGATATTTTAGAGATTTTATATCCAGCAATAATGAAATATATATATATATATATATATAGATAATATAGAACTCAAAAAGGGAAAGTTCTGAAAGAGAAAAACCAGGAAAGCTGAAAAACCAGGCAAGTTTTTTTTTACTTGCAATCCATTAAACATGGAATTTTCTTCCAACTTGATTAGATGCAAGACAGGGGACAGCTTAAGCTAAAATGGATTAAGAATTTGAATGGAAATTCAACAAATTACTCATTACTCAACTTGTTAATAATAAAACAAGCCCAGCATATCTCTTGAACAAGGGCAATTGCTCTGGTTGCAGCTTGTTTCTAATCTCAGTCAGTCCCATAAAAGAAAAACTAGCAATGAGCCAGTGAGTTAATGAAAATATCATCTTCCAAATTGTTAAGTTGCCAGGCTTCGGTACATCATTCAAGAACATGATCCAGAAAAAGCCACAGCTATGCCATTTACAAACCGTAAAAAATATGTTTCCCATAAGTACCACTTTGAAGAGATTAATCATCGAAGAAATTCAAATACATTAGCATCAAACAACACAACAATATTGTTCATTTAATTGAAAAAATTCCTCGCTATAAGTAACCTTCACCACCTGTCCCTTCTCCAGTCCATAGTATCGAGCAATTGCATCAGTTTGTAGCATCTGGGGGAGCTGAAAAGTTGAGAATTACAGAGAAGAAATTAAGAAGTTGACAATCTATAGTTTGATCTACCTGGTAACAATAACTTATTCAGTAGTAAGGCAGTATCAACTATAGTAAGGTTGAAAAAAACATCTCAAAAGGATGGCAAGTTGGCAACTGGAATGTAATTACTTGTTTAAATCTAGGGGTTAATATGTAATTTGGTCCTAAGGTATACTACTTATAAGGATTTGCTACCTATAGAAAAAAAAATTCATGATTAGATGCCCTAATTTTATTTATATCAAGCATTTTGCACCACTGACTAACATTGATGGTTAAAATGCTGATATGACAAATATTGACAACTAAAAATGTATCACATGTCATGACAATATTGATTTATTTTTTTACCACATTAGCTTACAGTTAATAAAATTAGTGTGGAGCAAAATGTTTGATGAAAGTAAAATTCGAGTATCTAATCGCGATTCTTTTTCTGTGCACCAAATCATAATAAATGGTGTAGTACAGAGGCTAAATCACACATTACAAATTTGTTCTTGAAATTTGCATCCATCCATTCCTGATAGCTTAATTAGAATTAATCAATAGCCATTTCTCTAAGGTGAGAATATCAGACAAAAAATAACATTGCATCTAGCTAGCATTTTATAAGAGCTTTCAACTAAGAAATAATATCCACATTCCAAGTAAGAGCATTGGGAAGCAAATTCAGTCAACTGGATTTCAAAGAATTTAACAATGATTACCTGCTTATCTTCCAACTGGTATTTTTTCAGCAACTTTTGTTTTTCTTCAGCGGTCAGCACCTCATGCTTCGGCATCAGATGGTGCTTTGTTACATTGACATACAGATCAGCAATCTGAAAGAAAAAGTAAAGGAAATCCCTTTTAGCTGGAAGCAGAAAAGTGGCTTTTCATTTCTCTCTTCTTATTTGATAGAAGGCATGAAATGAATGTTTCAGCCAAAGAACATTAAAATGAAAAGGATCAATTCATGCATTAATTTTATCCAGAAAAAATTATAACTATTATGGTCTAAGAATTTGAAGTGATGATGCCACATTTGACTTTGTAAGGCTGTGGTCCAAGAGGAAAGGCAAAGGTAAGCATATTTGAAATGTGGGTTACGGAGACATTGGATCAGACATGCAAAAACAAAAATTCTCTGTTAATGCTAAATACATCCCCAATCTCACAAATTCCCACCAATTATACACAAAATGCTTTAACATTTGCTAACAACAAACGGGATCAAGATATTCAACAGTTAAACAAGCTCACTATTGGAACACATCATTGGCTAGGACAAGTGCAAAATAAGCATTCAGTTCACTAATCAAATCATAAGCCAAAAAAAGAAGGAAAAAAATAACCAACTACCCCCTATGTTCAGCCAAAAAATTTGAGCCAATATATATTACCAGTGTTTACAAATAGTATCAAACATTTAGATAACATTTTCAAAACTGATTAAGGTACTGCGGTTAAGTTAAAATCAGTACAACTTAGTGCTTTCACTATGCCAACCCAGAGAATGTCCTGCACGTTCACGGGAACATCTTGTGTAACACAGATAAGATCGATTAACCCTACTTGCAGGCACTTAAAACTGGTGATGATTAAACATTATACCACATTAATCATTTTCATTCTCCTCTTTATTCTTATGTATGCAATCCATAACCTCAAAAGAGTGCAAACTTACAAGTTATTCGGAACTCACACATGAACCTACTAAAGTAACTTAGTAAGAATGGATAGGCCAGCAGAAAGATTCTTTGGGGGAAAGTATTACCAGTGCTGCACTAATATTATCATTCAAGTTAAATCGAAAAAAGGTGATTACATTTACTAAATTCGTACTCAATGGCTAAAGAACTATTTAAGTTTACAGGGCATTGGCACGACAGCAACAAATAAATTTGAGAAGTTTCCATATGATAAGACCCTGCTGCCATAAAGTATAAGAGCAATGAATAGCTAGCTAATTGCTAAACCACCTCGACCCCCAAAGCATGGTTGCATAACCAGAGTTTAACTATTATGGTTTATGGTTACTGGAGCTCAAAATACTCATTGAAAAATTACAAAATAATGCTTAAGTTAAACCAATTTCAAACTAATAGTTTATAGCTAAAGTAGATTTCTCAGGCACAGCTCACAGGCATACCATGTACTCTTCACTTGGCTGTAGTGATGTAATGTCCATTGTTGAGTCACAAAGACAAATGCACTCACCTTAGAACTAGTTGTCAATCAACAAATTTTTACAAAATCCTTTAACGAATAGTCACAGCATTCTTAGCAAAAGTATTAATATTAAGCATCAAAATCAACATGTCTGATGTCTCTACCAGGTAAGCCTACCTAACTACTAGAAGAATATGCAAGGGCCTGCACATTTTTCTTTTAACAATCCAAGAAAATAGGTAATGTTTACATTTTTTTTTCTCCATGTTCGTCATTTTCGTTCTTCTCCACTTCTTTTATGCATATGCATCCATAAGCAAGTAGAAGGATAATTAACACATTATTCATAATGGAGGCATGAACTGCTAGTGTCAGAAAAGATAGGCAAGCAGGAAGACAAATTTTTGGGGAAGTTGCCATAGCAGCATTAATTTTTCTCTTGAAGATAAGAATAGCAAAGATGTAACTTCACTTACTTGGAAAACCTCCACTTTAAATGGAAAACTCTCCAGTTCTTTTCGAGCAAAGGAGTTCATTTTGCTCTGCAGAATCAGTATCAGCCCACTTAAGCTTTCCTTAAGAATCTGGCAATGAAGAGCTCGCACAGTTGCTTTTCTGATATCATCTGTTCCCATGAAGACAACCAAGATCTGCAAACAACTTAAATATTATGTTACATAACTGCGAAAGGTGCTTAAAACAAGATACCATATGGTTGAAGAAAAGCTATCTACAATTACTTCTAAATTACAGCAGGAATGAAGAGTGAACACATGCTAAACACACAAATGTAGACATCCAGCTGTTTAACCATAAAAGATGAAGCAATAGAAGCTATCTCTTAAATGTCTCCATTGCAATTTACTTCCATCTGTAATGATTATAAAATTGGAATCCTTCATAAATAGAGGCTGTGAAGCATCACCTCTTCTTACATTTCTCAGATTTTCACTTACCTGTTTTGATAATACCAGTTTCTACATTTCTTCCTTAGCTAAGAATGTACACAATCAGAGCAATGTATTTGTTACTAAATTCTAGTTCGGAGTGTTTCTAGGACATAAAACTTCACAGTTTGCAATCTTGATGCAGGGAAATACCAAAATGGTAAAAGAACAAAAAAAGGAAGATATTCACAGTCGTAGTCCATGTGGCTTTATTCTGGTGGCACTTGATCCTGTTGGCCTTCAGAACTGTTTTGCCACTCTAGGCTCACTTATGTGCTTCATTCACCAAAACCTTCCTAAGATCTCATTTCACACTATGCTAGGCATAATTGATACACAACTTTTGAAACAAAATAATTGGTTAATCTATAATCATTTGAATTGATCTACTACTATTGAAAGAAAATAATCAGTTGTTCTGAAATCATTTGACCAGTCTAAGAAAGTACTTTCACAGGATAAAAAGGCATAATGACTAGAATGTGCAACTAGACTAAGAGATGGTATGTGGTTTCTACCTCCACAGATGGCTTATTTTAAAGTAGGGACGATGACTATAACAAGGCTTGAATGCTGTCCAAAACTTCATTAACTTTCAAGAGTTTCATTGATAGAATTAAACACGAATTGCAGTATTGCACTTAATAATCTATATGACTTTAGAACATGCTTGGGTTGAGATAAAACAGGAATAGCACAAACCACGAATAACATAGCTGCTTGACACTGGGCAAATATAGAATAATTAAGCCAGAAAACAGTGCTTCTCACGTAATGCAGTTTAAACTTTCAATGGTTTCATCCACAAAACCAATTCACCAAAGCAAAATGCAAAAAGACTTATGTATGGGCCATGTTCTAGATTCAGATTTTTTCCCCTTGTTAGCAATAGAAAGTACAATAGAGTCCCCACATATGGTCAATATGCAATTTCTTGTTTTTGTTGAGTTTTTCAATTTTCAGAAACCAAACAAATTAGAACATATATAGCTTCACTGATTCACATAAATGTTCTTCAAATTCTGTTCTCCTGTTAGGACAAGCATTGGCACATGCACTTCCAGTTAAACCTAAAACAAAATAGATAACCAAGCAGAGGATTAAAAAGAAAAACAGCGGAAATTACCAATTCCTTTTGGCTGAGAATTTCAATTTTTTTTTTCCCTTTGTGAAGGGAAAACATCAAGGAAAGTAACACAATCTATTTGGCTATTTGCTCATTAATGTTTATACTTCTGGCCAGTATATATACACAAATACAGTAGAAATACATTTAAAGTTCACTTGATTTGGAATTTGGCATACAGGTAAGTAAAATATACTCCTAATATAATCAAGAAAACATACACACAGTTAAGAACTATAACATAACAAAAGCAAACTAAAAGGCAAATCTGTTGTTCCGAACTGTTAACAGGCTGCCAAAAAGGGTAAAAAAAAGGACAGCTAAAAAAGACAACACTTCTATTGCAAGCAATTGTATATATAAAAAAGGCATCTTGTTTATATGTAATTAGGTGTATATATATGTCAGTATGTATATCAATAAAGCTTTTTTTACCAAAAATACAAAAGCAAAAGAGTCTTTTCCTAACATTAATTTCCTCTATTTTCTCACCATCCACACAATTTATTGCCAGGAAACTGAAACAACACTACAACAGCCAACTTCATGCCACATAGGCACATATATACATATACATATATACATAAATGCATACATGCTTACATACACATACATATATAGTATACACTCATATAAACATATATTGTATGCATACCCGAGTACATACATACATACATACACTCGTATACACGTATATACCTACCAACATATATACATATGCGTATGTACATCTAATCATACATAAAGACATATATGTACATAAATATTTTCATAAAACAAACTCTTATTTATATATCTGAAAAAGAAAAACTTTTTTCTTCCAAAAAAGAAACAAAAAGAACTCTTTCCTTTCTATCAAACAGAACTTGAAAAGAAAAACTATGTCCAAAAACTCCACCATTTTCCAGGGAAACAAACACTTCCAAAAGTCACATAAAGTTTACCTTTTTGGAAGGGTTGGAACGCAGAGAAGCAGAGATACGTAGACGTTCGAGCTCTGGTTTGTCTCCAAAATCGGAACGGAACTCAGCGAGTGAGCGAGTTAACTCCGAGTCAGCCACTTTATAGCCTCGGTCTTTGAGCATTTCCCAAGCAGTCTTGCGTGCCAAGTAAAACTTACGGCTCTCAACACTGCCTTGGTCCACCAACCTTTTCAAGCATGGACGAGCATCCTCAACTTCGCCATCGATACCGCCGTGACCAGAACTCCCACCACCATTGCCAAAGGTTGTTGCCATTTTTGTTTTGCTTTTTTTGTTGGAGAGTGTGGGGTTGTGGCAATGGAGGTCTGTGCTATTTATAGAACGTAGCTTTACAACACACTTTTGCAGAAAGAATTTTGGAGCGTCGATTTAGTTGGACATAGGTGCATTTGGACGGTCAAGATGACTTTGAAGAAGTACGGATCTTGAGTACATGACACGTGATTTGTCTAAAATTTATAGTGATTTGCAGTAGTTACATTACCTTAAAAATAATGGTGACTTGGGGTAATTACATTATTTTTTTTAATAATTTAAAAATTTTATATGAAAATGATTTTAAATTATTGAGGTAATAAGATTATTATCTTGAAGATAATATCATTCTCAACCTAAAGAATGAAAATTTTTTATCACTATAAAAAAATAATTTTTAATATTATTTTTTAATTAATTTATATTAATAAAAAATGTTATTAACATTACCTTAAAATATTTACTAATAAAAATTTGCAAAAAATTATTTTTTTAATAACATAAATTAAAAAGATTCTATTACAATGGAATAAATGTTTATTGATTATAAAAATAATGGAATCATTTAATAATTTTTTTAAAAATTATTTTTTATCAAAATTAATTTATATTTTATAGTTTTTTATAAAATAACATTTAATTATTTTATAAATTATTAATTCAATAAGTATTAATTTTTTTTTGGCAAAGTTGCTTTGAATATTTTGTATTCTATGATTTATTTTTTCACATAATATCAAATATTGTAATTTAAAATCACTAATGATTTATAATATTATATCAAATATGATAATTTAATATTCTCAATAATCAAATCACTTTGATGCAATTATTACCATAATAATTAAATCACCGTAATAATATTAAAAATGATATCAAATGCTATTTAAGTGAAAATTATCATAAATTTTTTAAATATATTTTGGAGATAAATAAAAATATTTTTCTTAATTGTAAAAAATTGTCATTTGTATTAAAAAAACTATTTTAACATTTTTAAATATATATTTTAAAATAAATTAAAAAAAAATATTTTTTAATAATAAAATAATGTTTCGAATTAGTCGGACCAAAAAAGTTATGCTCAAAGCTAGATTTAAATTGAGCCAAGCTCGCGAGGTTGAATTTGAAGTATAATCATTGAGTATTTATTTAATGATTTCTATAATTAATAATTAATTATAAAGATTTTTATTTGATATTCTATCAACAAATTATCAAATCATTATTCATAAATTTAATTTTTTAAAATATTTATTATAAATTATTTTTAAAATTTAAATATTTAATTATATTAAAACATATTAATGATATAACAATTTTATGATACACTCATAATGTATAATATCTCTTGCATCTAATATAAAAGATTTTTTCCAATTAAAACAATACATTTCATAATAATTAGATTAAGCAACAAAGTTAATGTGTTATTTTCAACATGATCTATTTATAAAATGTTAAATATTTTATTATTTATAAGGAAAAAAAGAAAAAATTTATTTGCTCCTATCTACACTCTTTTTTTTTTCTATTCTCGCTTATTTTTGTATAAAAATAATTTCATTAAAATAAATTCAAAATAATTATTAGAGTTGGGCTCCAGATGATTTTAGGCCCGTTAATCTTATTGGGTCCATTTAGTTATCTAGTTCAAAAAATCTTAACAAATCAACTCAAGTACCATCTACTGCCGACTGTCGTGTCGGATTTTTGTTCACCACTCGGATTTTCTCGAGAAAATATGTAAACTTATAAGTAACTCGTTCCTGTTTCTCACACTCGGATTGAAGGAATGCTAAGGCTGTTTGTTCGGACATGTTTGCTCAAACCAAATAATAACGTAGGATGAGTTAAGATGCTGGTTTTCATGTTGAAATGCAGTAAGCAGTCAATCCAGTAGGCACATCTAAGCAGAATACTAATCACCGGTCAACCCCCCGCTGCGAAACAAGAAAGGATTAGCAATGGCAAGCCTGAAAAAACTCAAGGAACAAGAAAAAGTGTAAAGCATTTTAGTGTTCAAAGGGCAAAATGAACTTGTTCCTCCGGTGTATAAGTCAACTAGCAAGAGGAGGGATTCTGATTATTTCAACCAAGCTGACATGTCTAAGTCGACCTAAAATCCAAGGTCAACATTAACGCAACCACCTTTGCAGCCCACTTGTTGGCACATAAGAGCACTAACTTGTCATCTCCTAAGTGGATCACCAATTACCAGCTCAGCTCGAGCCTACAAGATCAACCCTAACCTCTTATGCCGACCTCAGGCCACCTAGGCCCAAGATCTCTCATCGCAACAGGTATAAGTAGCCCCATCTAGTTACTTCTACACCAACTGAAAAACTCTTGGCTTAAAGCTTACATTCCACCTTATTCTTTTTCCCACTGTTTGACCGAGCATCACTTAAGTGTCGGAGCATAAACGCCAAGAAAACTTCCAAGCTTTGTTGTTGATTGATCTCTCTTTCTTATCTTTTCAGGGTTTTGCCCCTCGTAGACAGTTTGGCACAGACAAAAAGTTTGATTAGCACTAGTACTCCATAATGTCAAAAGAGTTGTATTTTATCATTCATCTAGTAAGTTTACAAGCAAATGTGGTAACAACAAATACCAAATTATCATCAAATGTTGAAGAACGTAAGGAACAGAAATTTGAACATGTCAAGCTCCATCAGGTCATTCAAAGCAGTTGAACTTACTTACAGCATCATCAAAAGAGACAAACAAGGTTTGATGGAACGCAACCAAAGCAAGGAAGAAACTTGTGCCATATTTAAAATACCTGCAATCTCAGAAATATCCTAATCCAGCAACTCACATGGACGAGAACTCATTCAGTAAGACTCAACGGTAGGAGGGATCCTGCAAGTATAGTTGTTTCAACCGAGCACAACTTAAAAAGACAGAGACAAGCAAGAACTGAAGTAATGCAGAAGCAAGAACCAAAGTACAAGGAGGTTGGCTTTTCGATTTTGGAAAATAATTTTTTAATATTTTACAAATTAGTGAAAAGCCAAGCAAGCACCACATTTACTTCATTATATGCCAGGTAAGCTTCTGCTAATGTTTCTGTCTCAAGAGTCGCACATTCAATAACTTTTAGGACTGAATGAGTACCAGTGAAAGTTTTAGGACAAATTAAAAATAAATTTATAGGAACGGATAACACTTGATTTGGTCCCTAAACTATTGCACTTTTTTTAATGTGGTATGTAAACCAAAAAAATTTTAATCAAATACCTAAACTGCATTTTCGTGTATTAAGTTGCCCCAACTCTTAACACCATTAAAATAAAGCTGATGTAGCATTTAAATGCTAACATGGATGATACTTGGTTTAGATGTGGCTGCCATGTGTCATTTTTAAAAAATAAAAGTTTTTAAAATATAATTTCTAAGAAAAACTTCTTATTATTTTTTTATTCTTTAAAAGTAACACATGACAACTACATCACTGCCATGTGAAAATCACGTGTTATCCATGTCAGCATTTAAGTGCCATGTCAGCATTATTCTAAAAGTGTTAAGAGATTGGGAAAACTTAATACACAGAATTAAAGTTTAGGTACTTGATTAAAAATTTGTTTAGTTTAAGTACCACATTAGATAAATTGTAATAGATCAAGGGCCAAATGAGGTATTATCCCTTACAGGAAAGAAAGGAAGAAAGAAAAACAAAATAAAAGGAAAAAGCATTGAGTAATATTTCTGGTAAAAGTTGAAGAACATGAGCAATTGATATTATATTAGAACTATGAATTCTTTGGAAAGTCATAACATTTTGTTAGCTAAGCAAAAGCAACGGTTCATTGTTTTCTACATTTTTATGCAATCTAACTTTACAAAAGCTATAAATCATGGATGTCACCCACAGATTCCCAACAAATCTTGCTCACGCAAGTCCAGTTTACGAAATATGTAGTATTAAATTGCTGACATAAAACATAAGAAAAAAGTCTATGGAGGTTATAGTGAGCGTACCCGCAGAATCCGATCAATTACATCCACCAACCAGCATAACAAGCTGAAGGCTACTTTCCCTTGCCGATGGTCACAGCACAAAGGCTGAAGTGCAATTGATCACTAGATAAAGATACAAACCACTTAAACAGAGTCATAGCAATAGATGGCCATTTAATTCCCACCACCTGCAAGCAAAATTGACAAGAAAAACGAAAATTGCAGCAGTTCATGATTATGATTTGAAGTTTGTGGGTGGGGGAAGCGAGTCGTGTTCTGCTAAGCATTCAGCCTCAGGTGAGAAAAGTATCACAAATGAATGGATTAGAGCTAAAACTTGCAAGTTTTAACAAAGAATATAATTGAACATAAGGGGACAAAAGCACTATGACAACCGCAAAAGAACCTGCAGTAAAAGAGGTAATAAGAAACTTAATTCAAGCATCCTTTGAAGTACAAGCAACTACTGGGGCAAATAAAAGCTAAAAGTCATCAACCACAATGCATGAGCCACAGCAAAGAGAGGTTACATATGATTGATCAACCTCACCGTTGCAATGAAGTGAGGAGCCTTATCATATAAACAGTAAAAATTAACAAAAAATGAACCTGAACATCATTCAGACTCTCAATAACCATAACCTGATAAGGCTTCTGTAGAAACAAGAATAAAAAATCATAACCTCTGGATATGGCCAATACGATTTTCATAATTCTTTTATGGCCAAGTCCAAAAATTTTCCCATGCCACCTGAGGATCCTAGCTGGGAATCAGGCAAAAACGTTCAGAACATAAACATCAATGCTTCAAAAGAGAAATGGTATCTGCCAATTCAATCAAAATCCTTATGGCTGACTATCTTACAGGATTTTTAAAAAGTAGCAGGCAAAAAAAAATAAAAAGCAAATTTTCCTCTACATCATATCCCACAAAGTACTTCTACCAGTAGTATACATTAAACTAAATAGTCAGTGTGCTCTGTATGTCAGCTCTTATATTCAAGGTAGAATCAGCCTGCATTGATAAAAAGGAAGAAAGATACTAACATACTTTCAAAAGGAGTTATCTTTTAATTAGGAAACTCACATATATTACAAATAAAAAACATCGCACATTTGGGGTGGGGGAAAGGGGGGGGAAGGTAACATGTGTCAAACAAAGAATCATGTTAAATCCCCAAGTGAATGGTTATGGATGTCCATGGCCCTCAAGAATTTCAAATGATTGATAAATAATTCAGTACATCACCATGAAAGAACATGGAAAGATAACCTATAAAAGATATGAAGAGTACTCCTATCTAATACAACGATCACAACAGAAATATAGAAATGAAAAACCTAAGATGGAATGTCTTTAAGACAAATTCATTCATCCAATCACCAGTGCCTCCCTTGAGAACCACCTCCCTTGTTTTTGGCAAAGAAGGCATTCTTGGGTTTTGGTAGCTCATGAATGTCCATCACTTGTATCGTTCTTTGCTTTTTGGCTTCAAAAAGCACAGAAAAACCACAGACAATCACATTTAGTATGAAACCAAAGTGAGGGATTCAAGATTAAATAAATTGTGGAAGAAAAGAAGAAAGCAAACCATTTTCAGCTTCTTTATAATTTTCTTGAAGCCTTTTCCTTGCAGAAGCCAGCTTTTCAGAGTCAAAATTGCTTTCCTTTTGTTCTCTCTGTCTCTGCAAAATCCCCAAAAAGGGAATTCAAGAAATAGACATGACAAAGCTTATACCAACTATCAACTCAGCCAAACTGAATTCTTTGGGCAACATTAAAATGGTTAAATTAAGTTGAATTTTCCCTTTCTTAGCTTTTTGCTAAGATAAACTATTACGGCGTAGTAACTGCAACTTCTCATTCCTTGAGAATCAAAAACCTCGGCATCATAGGAATTTGTCAAAACATCAGTTTCATAGCAAAAAATATCTTTTTGAAAGCATGTGCTATCAGACCTTCATGTCCATCAAAAAAATAAAGATGAAATTAGAGGCTCCAATTTGGTATATACCAATACCTGCACATTTTGTGGAGGAGTTGAGAGAGTTGGTCTAGGTGGAGGATCTTTTCGGGGAGGAGGGATTGGCTTTGGCTTCCTTTCAGGTTCTGAATTATTCTTGTCTGAACCAAAACTCCCATCTGTCAATTGTCATCGGAAAAAACATTCAAAAGAAGGCTGATTAATTAAATGCACAAAAGAAAGAAACAAAGGTCAAATCCAACTTTGAATCAGATTCTGTACTCACTATGCGGATTTGGAGAATACGCAAAATCAGGAACCTATAACAGAACAGAATCTTAGAAAGATTAAAAAAAATTTTAAAAAATAAAAAATAAATAAATAAGCAGAATTTTCAAACAACTTTCACAAGAAAAATTAATTGCTTTCACCTGTTGACGACCATTTTGAGGAAGTTTTTGCTGTGGTGAATCTCCATCTGCTGCCAGGCAATATTCATTGTCATTTTAACTTTAAAGACAATTAAATTTCCATTCACGTTTGTAATATTTTCTCACAAAAACAAAAAATATTCGTGTTACAGTCCAGAAAATAATTTTACCCATAAGTGCAGCAGATTCAAGTTCTCCAGGTTGATTCACCCTTACCCATTCATCTACAATCTCCTTCCAATTCCTGGAGAAACAAAGAACCAAATCATATAACAGATTTTCTTTGAACTGGTTTTCAAACTAAAAAAAAAATCATAACATTTAACATATATGTAAGTTCCACAAGTTCATTAAAACCTGACAAGTTGCTTCACTAATCTCCTAACGTCATTTGATGGATGCTTCCTCAATTTGTTCACATGTCTCCCAATATCAGTCTCCTGAAAATTGAAAAATAACATGGCAATGGTCATGAATCAAACTAAACAGGAAATTAAACAAAAAAAAAAAAATTGTTCCACATAATTGTTACCTTGAGAGCTTGAAATGTTATATCCATATCTGCCAAGCTTTGAAGCAATTCAACTAAAGAATCTTCAGACTGTAAAAACAATTAAAAAAACAAATTCAAATCAAAATCCAAAAAAAAAAAAATTAAACCAACAATACAATTGCAAAAAGATTCAAAGACCTGATCAGGTACTTCAAGACGCTCCTTAATCTCCAGAACCCTTTTTTGTTCATCATCAAACAAGCCTCCATAAGGGTCCAAATCATCATCTTCATTATCTGATTGAGGTGTGAAAGGTGATCCTTTTCCTCCTTCTCCACCTTTACCTTCATGGAGGCTGCCTTCTTTATTAACTTGATACCCATTTGATCTCTCACCAAAATCACAGCTTTTACACCTAGAAACCATGGAAGTAGCATAAAGCCTCTCCACAATCCCATCTCTCCTTTTCTTCAACTCTTGGCCATAATCCAAAGAAGCTACCAGGATTGCTGTATCTATAAAAGTCCACACATCAACACCAGCTGCTTCCAGAACTGATCTGAAATCATCCAAATCCATTACAACTCAAAAAAAAGCTGATGATTATATTGCAAATTCCCAGGCCTGTTTCCAGGTGTCAAATCAAGATTTGAACTTCAACATAATCAGATCTGATTGAGAAAAAAAAAAAAAAAAACCCAAAGCTTGAATTTTGCAAAAATTGTCAGCTGACAAAAAAAAAAAAAAACAATTCTTTGAAGTCAAAGCTGAAATGGGTTTTGATTATTTTTGTTGTTTTGTGAAGAAAGTTGATGGTTTTGAGTTTGTTAATGGAATTGGACTTTTGGGTGGAAATTGGAATATACCAAAATAAAGCTTGATCTCTTTTGTCTCTTATTTTTCATATATTTTTTAAAGAAAACTGTTTGGTTTTTGGTTATGGTCTGAGCAAAGTTTTGTTGGCAGTCTCTTTTCTCCGGAGACTTTTTTCTTCGGGGTTTTTTTTTTGCAGGTGGTGATTTGAAGATGATCAGACAAAGAGAAAGAGAAATTTAAAAAAAAAAGAAATTCTTATAGTAAAAATGGAGTGTATTTAAAAAATTAATTTAAAAAATAAAACCATTTTAATTTTGTTTACCAAATTTCATTTATGAAAATTTATAATTTTACAAAGAAAATTGAATAGTGACACATGTTCCTTAGAGTATATTTAAAAATATAAAAAAAATTAATTTTAAAAAAATGAGATATGTATAATTATTTTAACTCTTAAAAAAATTATACGATTGATGTATGAATAATTTTCTTTTAATTTTGTAAGTAAGATTAACATGATAATACATATTTCTTAAAATAAATTTAAAATAATAAAAAATAAAGTTTAAAAAAAAGTCAAACACACGTTATTATCTTATCTTCGTTTATAAAATTAAAAAACTCCATTACTTAGGGTGTTCATTGATTTGTTTGATTAATTTCGAATCAAATTATCTAAAATTAAATTATTTTATTTTATTTTTGTTAACTAAATTGAATAAATAAATTTTAAAAATTAATCAATCGAATTTAATTTAATTTTTTTGATTAATTGAATAATAAATACATTTAAGTTAAATTATATTTTTAATTTTTAATTTCTCATATTTTAAATAAATTAAATAAAATTATTCAATAAAATATTTAAATATTAAAGTATTATATTAAAAACTTTAATAAATTATGAAATTAAATGATCCATTTCATATATTTTTAATTATATTTAAATTATATTTTATTTTTTATATATTTAACAAAATAAAAATATATTTTATATTTTTATATTGTTATATATATTTTTATATAAAATATTATATAAATATATAAATTATTTAAAATTTTACATTATAAAAATACATAAATTACAAATCTAATTATAAGTTTGTGTCATTTTCAACACCTTTCCTTACACACGTGAATCATGCTTCTATAAGTAGAGTTGAAAAAGTTTGCTCAACATTTATTGAATCCAATGATTGAGGGCCCTTTTGGTTTTTGAAAAATGTTTTTCATTCCTCATTTTTACTATTACTCTAAATTTTTTTTTCATTTTTATAAAGAAAGCTAATGCAATAATCTTAAATTATTTTTTTTTATAGATTAAAATAGTTGATTATTCGCCTTATATTAATCTATCATATTTTTAATAGAATTAAGAAAATAATTATTCACCTTATTTTTTCAAAAAAAGAAAAAGAATAAAAGTGAAGACTATATATTATATAAAATCATTTTCATTAAAAAAAATATTTATTATTCTTTACTTTCAATTCTTTTTGACTAATTCAATATAGTTATGTAGTGAAAAAATATATATGTTGTAGAACTCATTCATTTTCATTGAAAACTTTTGTTTAGTTCCACTCTAAAAAAAAAAATTCTCTTATTTAATTTATTATAACAAACTATATTATATAAGAATGAAAATAAATTAGCAAGTAAATAAATTTTTTTATTCACGAAAATAGAGATTTGAAACTTATTTTCACGATAAAATTATACATCAATTATCGAACCAATGTTTCAATGTAAATTAATAAATATTTACTAAGTCAAAAATCAAAAGATTAAATTCTTAAAAAAAAAAGTTAAAAAATTGGATAAAGATTAAGGATTACAAAAAAATTTTAAAAAATTAAGTGAGAATAACACTTAAGAGTATAATCGATTGAGTCTGAAATAATACAGTATTAAGCTTGAGTTCAAGCTCAATTCAAAATTCTAAGTTTGATATTCAGCTTGAATTCGATCGAATTTCTTTTTTCTAGCTCAAACTCGACTTGAGATAAAAATTGAACTATTAGAGCTCGTTCGATTAGGCTCGATTAACATGTAAAAATAAGCTCAATTTTTATATTTGATAAAAGCTCGATTATTTGAGCTTGAGTTCGAGTTTAAATTTGAGATATTTTATTAATTAAAATAATAAAAATATATTTAAATATAAAATTTCGATTAGGCTCGTAAACTATTCTAGTTAGATATAAAAATACTTAAACTCGACTCTATCGATGAGTCAAATTACTCGATTCAATAATAATCGAGTCAAATTCGAATTTTATTCGAATCGAACCTGAATAATTTACGAGTATTAATATATCATTTACACTCATGATAACACCATCCAAATACTAAAAGTTATAAAGCATAAATCTTTTTAATGCCTTTTCTAACTAGCCAATACCAATGCCACAAAGCTCCATTTGACTAACCATTTGATCAAATATTTTAAGCTTTGCATCACCTAAACCATAAGATAGGTGAAAATTAACCTACCCCAAAAAGTCCAAAGAAGCGTATGTTTTATGTTTCCCTAAACAAGCACATTTTTCAATATTTCTTTTATGTTCTCAATGAAGCAATAAAATAGGTTTAATGTTTCTTTATTGAAAAGTATGAAAATGGCAATGACCAAATTAAAATTTTAGTTGAATTTAAAGCTTACTTCAAATTATTCATGCAATTATCTTTAATAGATAATATTTAATACATTTAAATTTTAAAATTTAATATTTAAATTTTTTTTAATTTTTAGATTACGATATATTAATGTGTAAGATTAATTAATTCTAATATTAATGGATTTTAAAAGATATCATTATCACAAATTTGGATGATAAGACTAATGTTTATTAGGGTAAAACAGTTTCTATTTATATTCAAAAGTTATAGAACCAAATTGATAAAAAAAAAAGTTATGGAATCAAACTTTATTTACAAAAATAATTTTCAACATATGGGACTAATTGAAGAAAAGAGAAAAAAAGTATTTTCCTTTACATAGATTTTACAATTAGATTTAATTCGATTTGTAAATTTTTAGCCAAAAGCAATTTTATAATAGTAACAGCTTGAATTTTTGTTATCTTAACAAGGCTTGTTTAAAATTTTTTATACCTTTTAGAACCCTAAGATTTTAAATTCAAATCCCATTGTATGTTGGTTTTAATTTAATTTTATATTAGATTTTTTAAATTATATTTAAAATGTTTATTGATTATTTAATAATTTCTTATATATTGATGTAATATTTTATTATAATTATAATTTTTCTTGAAGTTATAATTTCATAAAACTCTTTGCTTTTTAATGTAATTATATCTTGGAATCCACATCAACATCAGATGGTCCATGCTTGACTAGAGCACAAAATTGAAAGGTTTATAGGCATAGCTCATATCAATCTACTATTGGGAAAAGCTTCAACATAACATCTACCCACTTTTTGGGATATTTTATCATATTGTGGAGTTGGACAGCATGATCAATTGGGCAATCACAATCATCATAAAATTAGGGTTAAAGTAGATAACTTCACTAAATGTTGATCTCATCAAAATTCTGACATGTCACCATCCTTCCTTTCTTATCATTATCCATTTTTCATTTTTCAATACTACTTAAAATGCATTTGGCACCTAATTGAAATAACTCTTGCCTCCGATGTCGTTTTATGATTTAATTATAAAATATAACTATACCATGGTTAAAATTTCTCTCATTAAAAATATAAATGAATCGAATATTAATAAATTTTATTATATTTTTGATTTGGTGATTCATTTAATTAATTAATTTTTAAATATTATTCATAATTATTTGTTAAATTTAATAAAAAAATATAACCATACAAAAATTACACTTATTTACAGACAAACAAAAGTTATGTTCAATCACACCCCTAATGTAAACGAATTAAATATAAATATATTTTGTTATACTCGTGATATATATGTTAATTAACATTGAAATATCGTTTTGTGATCGTTTGTTAAATTTAATAAATTAATATAAAATTTAAACCTAATAAATAAATATAAACGACAAAAACCAACATTTTCATGAATGTTCCCACAATTGTTACTGCTGTATCGAGATTATTTGAAATTTCTGAAAATTTTAAGTAAAAATGCAATACAGAACTATATCCCCACCATCAAGCTTCAAGCCAAATCTAATACAACAATAGTCCATGAATGATTTCTTATACAGGACACACTGAGAAATTTCATGGATACAAAAATTACCCTCACTTGGTTTCTCCGTTTCTCTCCCAATGCATTTCTACTTCCTAAGCCCTATTAACCTCTTTAATCACAAAAATGGCTTTCTTTTGTTTCTCTCGACTTTGTACTTTTATTAATGATTTAACAAAGTTTCCTCCAGCAATAAAAATGCTCAATGCAGTTTCATATTCTCTAACATGAATCTCATAACTCCACAAACTGCAGAAACATTTGATTTAAGTTCGGTTACGACCAAGTTTGAAGCTAATCATAGGCATTTACCTTAAGCTATTAATGGATTTTTAAATATTCAAAAACTTGAATACATGCTTTTACAGTATAACATCTTAGCATGGAACTGATAATTGAGCACCATGAAACCCGAACCCTTTCTCTTTCTCCATAGGCTGAAAAGGCACTTACAAGTATATCTGAGTACTGTAAACTTAATTCCCTGAAGTAGACCTTCGTTGCACTACTAGATCATCAGCAGAGTAATAATCAGCAATCAGCCGGTACATGTATGATGGATTATGCCCTCCACTGTGAGACACAAAGCAATCAGTGATAGCAGGAAAAGAAAAAACTAGAGGACCATGAAAAGAAGAACCCTCTAGCAATGGCAGAAACAGAAGAGCCAAATACATGCAATCTTTTGTCTCTTTTGTGAAACAAAACTATTCATTGCCTCCCCACATCGTATCGACTGGTCACAGTACTCCATAATGTGGAAAAGTAATTGATTTGGTAACTTGAAATGAAACTAAGAAAGTAAACATCAAACATTTACCGCATGTTGAATAAGAACAGAAAGGATAGAAGCTTCAAAAAGTGCAGTTGAACTTACGTGTCGGTTATAAAGAGACTAACAAGCTTTGGTGGCACATAATCAAATGCTGGATTAACAACATGAAGAAGAGGGGCACCAATTTCATTTCCAAAATCCAAGCAATCTGAGAATTCTCCAAAATCCAGCAACTCAGATGGGGACCGCAATTCATTCAGTAAGACTTCAGGAT